CACCCAGCTGCTGGAGGCTGGAAAAGCTGCCAAATAACCAACAGTTTAACCTTTCAGAAGCTCTTGATATCGCTCGCATGTTCGTCCCCCCATCCCCAAAGAGTGAGGGGAGGGGGGAAGGCTGAATTTAACAACTCCCTGGCATGAGTCACCAAGAATGGGGGAAACAAACGGGCGCATGAAAGTCAGAGAGCCAAGTGCTGACAGCTTGGCTCAGGCAAAACTCCTGATGATGGGGGATGGGAACCTTAGCACTTTTCCCTCTCACTGACTTCGGTGGGAGCATTGCCTAAGTGAGGGCAAGGGCTTTGTCACACAATGATTAGCACTAGTCATCTGCAAAGCAATGTTCAAAGAACTGGCCAGATTTTTATTTCTTATCCACCTCCTATGCCCCGCTAAAGATCTTACTGACCAACGGAGAATTCTCTTCTAGGGTTGGGGAGCTCTCAGCATAAAGCCACTCCTGCACCAGCTTCCCCCCACCCTAACAGAGGGGGCACATGGAGATCAAAGGGAAACAGAGAAACCAGAAACACCAGATGGAGCAGATATGGAAGTGAAGCCCTTAGAGAGCAAAGGGCTATGGATGGGAAAGGAGGAGAAGGCAACCCAAATTTGTCAAAGAAATAAAAATCAAGGGGAACATCCACAGTCAGTCTTAGTTTAGAGAGAAGAAGAATGGTAAGGGAACAAGGTAAAGTAGACAAACCAATGAATGGTGGGTCTAGACAAAGAAATACTTTTCACCTTAGGCCTGGGCTACACTAGCCGGGGGGTTCAAACTAAGATACACAACTTCAGCTACGCTATCTGCGTAGCTGAAGTCGAAGTATCTTAGTTTGACTTAGCTGGACATCCTGACGGCGGCGAGTTGACTGCCGCGGCTCCCCCGTTGACTCCGCTTACTCCTCCTGCCGAGGTGGAGTACGGGCGTCGATTCGGGGATCGAATTATCGCATCCAGATGAGACGCAATAAATCGATCCGCGATACATCGAACACTACCCGCCGGAGTATAGACATACCCTTATTTAGCCAGCAGAACTCACCACCACAGGACATCATAGAAATCAAGAGTTTAAGAAGATTAAAAAAAGAGGAACCATTTGTATGGATAAGAGAACATGCATAGATATGTTAGGATAATTTTTTAAAGAAGTATAAACTGTCATGCAGCAGGGCAAAAGCCAAACATTAACTGAGGAGAGTTAGGGAGAATTTTCCCTTATGAGCAGATTGTTCCATAGTTGTCCACTATGTGGTTCTTGCCCCTTCCTCAGGAGCAGCTGGTACTAGCCAATATAAGAGACAGGGTATTTAGCTACAGGTTTCACTGGCCAGCTCTGGTGTGGCCCTTCCTGCAGACTGATAGGCTGACCAGACAGCAAGTGTGCAAAATCGGGACGGGGGTGGTGGGTAATAGGAGCCTATATAAGAAAGAGCCCCAAATATCGGGACTGTCCCTATAAAATCGGGACATCTGGTCACCCGACAGACCGAGATGGCGTTAATCAATATGTTATCTGATGTTGTATATAACAAGAGCTCCCAGGCCAAAGGAGAAATAACTAGAGTTGAATGAAAATTTTCCGTTGAAACCTTTTTTCTTGTTAATTGCCTTTTTTTCTAAATGAAATTTTCACAGGAAACAAAAGATTGTTGTGTTAGAAAGTTCCTGGTTTTCAATGTAAAACTGAAAACTGTTTTTTCCCCCCAAAATTTAATTTTTTTTCCACAAATGGAAAACCCATTAAAAAAAATTCTTTCAAAAACGCTCACAGAAAACACCATTTTCTGAGCAGCTCTAGAAATAGCCCAGTAATGGTGGCAACTTATAACTCTTGGGTCAAGATAAGGAGAATAAAAAAAGAGCGAGAATGCAAAGCCGATTTGCTCTAGGCACTAGAATAATGGGTCTACCCATTTTTAAACCAAGAGTGCCTGGTATAGGCTCCCTGGAGTGAATGACTCAAGGTCTTACATAAAACAAATGCTTCTTTCACACAGAGTTCACTGACTCATTTGAAGGTCTAAGGAATTGGATTAAGCATAAAGCAGCATTTTACGTATATGTTCCAGGGAGAAGTGGAATGTGTTGCACTGGAGACCAAGGAAAACAAGTCATAGAAACTCATGACTTTGAGAAAACTACATCAGTTAAGGGAGAGGCCTCTTACTTTCACAAGATACTTAGGCAAAAGTTAGACCTTACCAAGAAGAGCCTCCACAGGTCAGATTGTGGAGCCCTTGTTGACTCTGGTGGGCACTTACTCTTTCAAACAGTCCCAGTGAAGTCCTTGGGACTGTGTGAGTAATTACTCACCAGTGGGAGTAAGAGGTTCTCAGTCTGACCCAGGGTTATCGGAAAGCCTGTGTGGTGCTTATCCCTGGCGTTATGTAGCTATCTGCATCCATTTTAGGGCCAGATTCTCGCCCCTTTACTCCTTTTGAGTCGTACTTTGCTCCACAAGTAGTAGGACTGCTCGTGTGGGTAAGGGTGTTAGAATCTAGCCCTTATGTAGCTGCAGTTGTGTTTACTCCACAGAATTTGAGCCCAGTCCTGCTCCCAGTGAAATCACTTAGGCACAGGTACACATTGGTAGAGCTAATGTAAATAGGCCTTCGGGAGTCTAAAGCTCTGTCTATTCTGGAGTGTTTTGCACCAGTGTAGCTATACCCCAGCCAACCCTCCCCGGGCTGGGGCACTGCACTGGGGTAAGACAGGGAATGCACCAGTGCAATTTATCTCAGTGAATCACTGGGGTAAATCGCACCAACACAAGCAATGTTTTCACCAGTGCATTGTGTCTACATTAGGGGTTTGCCTCAAAGTAGCTACATCTATGGAGCAGTACCTATGCAAATTTCCATAGGCTAGACCAGCCCTATTAACTAGTATAAAGGAATCGTAAAACTAACGAAAGGGGGTCTAATTTGCACCACTCTGCATTGTCCCGGTGCGTTTTGCCCTGCGTACTCCCAGCTACCATAGTGGGATGGTACCACCACTATAGTTAAGGTTGAGACTGGCTTACTGTTTAACGGCTGGTTGTTCCTAGTGCTGTAAAATCTACATGCTTACTGAGATTGTCTTGACATTTATTGTGCCTCATGGGGATCTAAGGTAGGGTCAGTGCTCCGTATCTGAGGTTATTTGGCAAGGAGTTGCTAAAATATAGCCTCCGCCCAAAAAATCAAGGGTCTTTTACTGCACTTTTACGTTTTTCTGCACACAAATGGGGCTCAAATTGTCATTCTGATCCCCCCCCCCACACACACACACTCACAACTGATATCAGAGGAGTGAAGTTCTGGAACAATCTTCCAAGGGGAATAGTGGAGGCAAAAGACATATCTGGCTTCAAGACTAAGCTTGATAAATTTATGGAGGGGATGGTATGATGGGATAGCCTAATTTTGGCAATTAATTGATCTTTGACTATTAGCGGTAAATATGCCCAGTGGCCTGTGATGGGATGTTAGATGGGGTGGGATCTGAGTCACTACAGAGAATTCTGTCCTGGGTGCTGGCTGGTGAGTCTTGCCCACATGCTCAGGGTTTAGCTGATTGCCATATTTGGGATCGGGAAGGAATTTTCCCCCATGGCAGATTGGCAGAGGCCCTGGGGGTTTTCGCCTTCTTTTGCAGTGTGGGGTACGGGTCACTTGCTGGAGGATTCTCTGCACCTTGAAGTCTTTAAACTATGATTTGAAGACTTCAGTGGCTCAGACATAGGTTAGGGGTTTATTACAGGAGTGGGTGGGTGAGATTCTGTGGCCTGCGTTGTGCTGGAGGTTGGACAAGATGATCATAATGGTCCCTTCTGACTTTAAAGTCTATATCACCCACTTGGGATTGATCTCAGATAGCAGCCCTCAAGGCAGGGCCGGCTCTAGGCACCAGCAAAACAAGCTGGTGCTTGGGACGGCACATTTTTAGGGGCAGCATTCTGGCATGGGCCATGCCGCGCCTAAAAATGTGCCCCGGCCGCCCTAACTCACCTCCGCTGCTGCCGCTCGCGCAATGCTGCTCGCCCTCCCTCCCAGGTTTGAGAGCCTGGGAGGGAGGGGGAGACCCCGAGTGGCCGCGGCGCACGCGCTGCTTCTCCCCCTCCCTCCCTCCCTCCTAGGCTTGAGAGCCTGGGGGGAGGAGGCAGGGCTGGGGATTTGGGGAAGGGGCGGAGTTGAGGTGGGGCCGGGGGTGGGGTAAGAAAAAAACGGCGGGGGGGGGGCAAAATTGTTTTTGCTTGGGGCGGCAAAAATCCTAGAGCCGGCCCTGCCTCAAGGGTGTATTTCCTAGTTTTCAGAGGTTTAAGTGTAGGTGCATTAGATGTTCTGGAAGGATATGGCGCCGCAGGTCAATCTTAACTCTGCGTTTGATTTACTACAAAGAGGGACTTGGGGGCGGTAGCCACAAGTTAAGGTAGTAGTTACTGATATTGTGTTGTGTATGTTCCAGAGAGAGAACATTTACTGCTACGTATTAATTAGCCAACTTCACTTCCTCTTCTCTGAGAGGCATCATAGGGGAATCAGTGAATCATAATTTTTTGGCTTAAAATACCAACAGAACCCTACTTATTACCTGGATTCCCTGTAATAACTGCAGTAATCTAGGAGGAAAGAGTTGGGGGGTGCCCTTCTAAACTGCTATAGAAAGGATTCAAAGGAGACCAGCCCAGGCTAGGTTTAAAATGGTTCCCTTTATTTTGAGCTCCGTTGTGTGTTTTAGCCACCACTGCATGTTAGGGATGGTGTGAGAGGTGCCACTGTGTTTAGCTTGAAATGGTGGTGGGGTATGTAGGAGGTGATGGTGTAGAAGCAGCAGTAAGGTTGGATGGAGATGGAGGAGTAGGTGATGGAGGATGTGTGATGGAGACTTCGTGGGGACTGAAGAACCGGGAAGGAGTTCTTAGGCTCTGAGATGTGGGGTGGGACCTGTTTGGATGGGGAGTTGCAGGTCTCTGGGACCTTTGGCTTGTAGGGGGTTCTAGGGACATGTTGGATTTCAGAGTTATGGAGCTGGAATGGAGTGGAGGCTCAGTAAGGCTCAGAGTCTGGGGCAATAGAATAGGGGATTATAGGACTAGAGGGATTAGGAAGGGAGGTGAGGGGTTATAGGGCTTTAGTGTTTGAAAGCTAGTAGTGGAGACTGGGGGTTGTAGATCTTTGGGTAATCGTAGGACAGTGAAGATTGTGGATTATAGGGCTCTATGCATAGCAGGGATGTGGGAGATTTATAGGGTTCTGAGATAAAAGGGATTATACCACTTGGGTTTGGAGAAGGGTTACAGGTCTCTAGGAGTAAGAGGGGAGGTTGGGGGTCGAAGGGATTATAGGGCTTTAGGGATAGGTGGGGAAACTGGGGTTCATGGGGATTTAGGGGCTTCATTTAGGATTTAGGGGCATGGTTATAGGGCTCTAGGGGTAGGTGGGGTTAGAGAACTCTAGGGGTGGGTGGGGCTCTAGGGGTAGGTGGGGTTAGAGGGCTCTAGGAGTGGGTGGGGGTCATGGGGCGGGGTTAGAGGGCTCTAGGGGTGGGCAGGGCTCTAAGGCTCTAGGGGTAGGTGGGGGTTGTAGGGTGGGGTTAGAGAGCTCTAGGGGTGGGTGGGGCTCTAGAGGTAGGCGGGGTTAGAGGGCTCTAGGGGTGGGGGTCATAGGGCGGGGTTAGAGGGCTCTAGGGGTGGGCGGGGCACTAGGGGTAGGTGGGGGTTGTGGGGCGGAGTTAGAGGGCTCTAGAGGTGGGCGGGGCGCTAGGGGTAGGTGGGGGTTGTGGGGCGGAGTTAGAGGGCTCTAGAGGT